TAATTTTGTAAAATCATGATCACATGCAGAAAGCATATTATTTAATGGAACTAAAGATGGTCTATTTCAAACTCCTGAAGAAGTAGAAACTTTTTCACCAATTGAAATTTTATGTTTATCATCTGCTGAAATAAAACATATATATTCTTGATATAAAATTGCAAATTCATGAAAATATCGAAAATAAGCTGCACAATAATGTGCATCAGGATGAAATTTTCTAAGCTGCCGACTTTGAACTTGATATTTAATTTTAAATTTTCCAGTATATTTTATTGCACGATTTACTGTTGAATTTGTTGGCCAAAATTGTAAACGAATCCATTCTAAGCTTGGTATACAAATTGAATCTGGAAGAGGATCTCCATATCGGAGTATAAGTCGTTGAATTATAGATTTTTGAAGATCTCGTATAGAAACAAACCATGGCATATATAAAATATTTCCATGTCTTCGATCATTTACTGCTGGAGTATTCTAATTTGAATATAATCAAATTTTAATAATTAAAAATATAATTTTAGCTTAATAAAATTATAAATAATTACTTCATCAAAAAATGCTTGCAACTCTTCCCAAAAAAAATCAAATTTTGTTCCACTAAACCCATTATTTGTCCGAAACTCAAAAACAATATCTGGATCTTCAAGGATACTGTATTTGAAAGTAGCAATGCAATTCGACATGCAGCTGAATTTTTTCAAGCTATCAATCAGAAATTTTCTAGTAAAATTCCACCAATTTTATGCATATATACAGATGGCGGCTCTGATCATAGAACAAATTTTGGATCTGTGCAAATTTCTCTTATTTCATTATTTTTTAAAGGTGATTTTGATATGCTTATAGCAATGAGAACAGCACCATACCATAGTTGGGTGAATCCTGCTGAAAGAATTATATCAATTCTTAATTTAGGATTGCAAAATGTTGCATTAGTACGTAATGAATTTAGTACAGAGTATGAGAAAATTTTTGAGCAATTAAACACACTTGAAGATATTAGAAAAGCAGCCAATAATAATAGAAACTTAAAAAAGGCAATTCAAAATAGTATTACTGATATTAAAGATCTTTTATGTAAGCGAACTAAGCAACTTGTTTTAAATGAAAATCTATTTAAATGCTATGATCCTGTTTTAGATATAGATATAGATGAATTGTTTCAGGTTAAGTATTTAGTATACTTTTTTAAAAAATAAATATTTAAATTATTCTTAAAATTTATAGGAAATAAAGTGTATTGATAATACACTTCAAGTTAATGAAACTACCTGGGCAAGTTTAAAAAAACATAATAAATTAATGGAATTTTTAAGATCGCATTGTCAACAAAGAATATATTCATTTCAGGTTATTATTTTTAGTTATTACTTTAAATTAATAATTCATAGTTCTAATACATTATTTTAAGATCAAAAAATGTTTGCAGCCAAGTTGCGATTTGTGCAAGCCAGTTAAAATGCTGATTGAAGAGTTTAATTCATTAAATTTTTTATCTGACCCTATACTATCAACAGATGGTTTGTTTAGATTTCTTTTTAAAAAAAATTTTAGAGTTCTAATCTGAATTATTTATCTGAATAATTATCAGATATTCGGATAATTCAGATACGGATAAACAGATAATGGATTTATCCAGATTGGACCTCTAAAATATTTTAATTATTTATTAAATAATTTTTTAAAGTACTTTACAATATTACAGACTTAAATCATTATGCGCCTTTTAATTCTATATATGGTACTGAAACTAATAAAAGTCATTGCCCATCTTTATTATTAAATCAAGAAGAACAAGAACGTGGTTCTAATGGTCTATATACATATAAGAAAATTCGTGGGTGGGTAGAATGTACAGCATGTGGAAAATGGCGTTGTCTTTATAGTCAATATTTATTAAGTGAAGAAGAAGAATTGCAATGGCAAACAGCTCTTCAAAATAATCTATATACTTGTGGTGGACCTATCTTAGCAGAAGACCATCTATTATATAATATTCTTTTTGTTCGTGAACATATTTCTTGTAACTCACCAATTGAAACAAATTATTATGCCTGTGAAAATGGTGATAAAACACAACTTTGTTATTGGTGTGGAACTGAAGACGACTTATCTGATATACCAAGTTCGTTAACTGACCAATATAAAATAGTTTATCCATGTTGTAATACATGTAAAGAATTAGGAAAAGATTATTTTACTCGTTTAGAGATTAAAGTCGGCAAAAACTGTAAAAAGAAAAGGCGGGAAGCTTAAATTTATAATTGATAAAAAAAAATTTTTTAAATAAACATATAATAAAATTTTTTTTATTCTATATATATATATGCCTTTACCCTCCCCCCCCCTCTTCAAGACCTCCAATGTAATATAAACCACCGAATCAAATTGGTCTCGCCTAACATAAATGAAGTTATTGTTGCTGCCTTAGAAGATTTGGACAATACTTTTTATGCAGAATATTTAGATTCTAAAAGTGACGAAGAATCTAACTCTTCATCAGATAATGAACTGTTATCTGATATTGATAATGACATCCCTTTAAGTAAATTAAATAAGTTTGACTTTGTAGATTTACCTGATAACTATATTGAAGATAAGATCTATGATGAACTAAAATTAAAAATTCAAAAATTTTT